ATAACCACTGTATAGGTATTATATACACTTAAATTCATCTTGGGCTACCAAAATCTGAAGTGTGGCTACCAGGGATATTTAAATTTTGCGAGCCCTGCAGTATTTACCTTCATTCAACCTAGCCATACTTTCTACTACCAAGAAGAATGTAGCACAGAGCTCCATGTATAAAAATGCCACTTTTAAATCCACTGCATAGAGAAATTAAAATACTGCAAATTTTCTTCAGTAACAAGTAAAAAAAAAATTCCCTTTTTTATTTGCAGGTTTCCACATATCTGGACTGAGAGTTTACTCTGAGAGGCTTGACAAATCCAAAGAACCCAAAGAGATCATGCGATGGAAGCGGAGGCACAGATACTGCAGTATCACACTTTTCTTCATTGTGCTCGTGTTTGTGGGAGGCCTCGTTTTTCAGGGTCAGAGGCATAGTCAAATCACCAAGGAGACGCTTGCTACTCAAGAGCTCCAAACCATTAAAACGTCGTTCAACTCCACCATGACTTATCCATTAAAGCTGAAGGAGCTTGAAGAGTCCTCTAAACTACTAACGTCAAATGAAAATATCATCTCAGCTTCGGATGAAAGTTTACAGCAGGAGTTAGAAAACTCCTCGCTTTTGAACATCAGTTTGAACGAAGAGATGAGAGTGGCAAGGCTACTTAAAGATGAGCCTTATGAGTACATCCATAACGAACCATACTCATGTCTGTTGCGAGCTCCTTTCTTAGTGCTTTTGATTGCAGTTGAGCCCAAGAAAACAGACGCCAGGGATGCCATCAGGAAAACATGGGCCAATGAAAGTGTGGCTGGGGGTTTGGGTTTCGTCCGGCTTTTTTTCATAGGTGTAAATCAAGACACCCAAAGAAATGGCAGCAAACTACAGCACACAATAGAGGAAGAAAGTGACCGGTATCATGACATCATCCAGCAAGATTACAGGGATACTTACAACAACCTTACCCTAAAAACGTTGATGGGGATGTACTGGATCACAAAGTATTGTCCCGAGGCCAAATATGTCATGAAGACAGATAGCGATATGTTTGTCAACACCGAATTCCTCATAGACAAAATCCTAAAGCCCAAAGGGCAATGGACACAGAAGTATTTCACAGGACTTCACATGATAGACTTCTCCCCAAACCGAAACAATGAGAGTAAATGGTATATGCCCCCAGAAGTGTACCCTGGTAGGCGATACCCCACCTTTTGTTCTGGGACTGGATATGTCTTCTCAGGTGATATGGCTCGAAGGATATATGTGGCATCTCTGACCATACCCAGACTGCATTTAGAAGACGTTTACGTGGGTGTGTGTCTAGCTAAACTGAAGATAGAGCCAGAGCCACCGCCAAATGAACATCTGTTCAACCACTGGCGAGTGCCCTACTCTAGCTGTAGGTACAGCAACCTGATCACCTCTCATGGGCTTCACCCCAATGAGCTGATCCAGTACTGGCAGCACCTGCAGAGCAACAAGCACAATCCCTGCCAAACAACAGGGTGAAACGTTCAATAAATGGACAGTTTTTTTCAAATATAACAACCTAAAACAACCAAACCATAGTTTTTTTGATTATCATTTTTTTCATTATTTTAATCTTAATGACTGATTTTCACAAACCTGGCTGATTAAATGGGTATAAAAATATTCAGTTGTGGTTTAAGTATTATTTTATTTTTAATGATGAATTTTATCAGATTGTGAATAAGCCGAAAAGGGTCTTCAAGATACTAAAAGATATTACAGCTATAATGCATTCAAGAAAATTAGGTCATTTTGGTTCAACCAATGCACTAATGGACCACAAGTGTAGCATTTACCATCCAATAGAGTAAATTGGTAGAACATAAAGATCTTTTGGCCGTTTCCTGAACTTGGGTTCGTGATTGAATTGCAGAGGGTCTGTGAGTTTAAATCATAAAAATGACAACTTCACCTAATTAACTCACTTTAAAATAAATAAAACACTGAGTAGAATTTTTTAGAAAGGAAAATAAGGTAGATAGAAAGAAGGTGAATCAAATTATGAATAATTTACTGCCATTTTGTGAATATGTAATCTCTAAAAAGTAACTAATCTGATTACGAGCATTTTTTAAAATGCAATATAATCTAATTAAAAGTACTTAATTTCTGGAATCCGATTAAGTAATCCAGATTCCATGTAATCAGTATCTACACGGCATTGTAAGCACTACAATCAACAAAAGGAATGGAGAACGAAAACTTAAATCAAAGAGTTAAATGCTATGAAATATCCAGGATTGAATGAGGATTTAGATTTTAGCCCTTTAATTATTACTCTACACATTTTTTTTTTTTGTGCATTTTTGGTAACATTGTCTAAGCATAGAAACAAGTAATAATAGCAAAAGTGTAAAACCATATGAGATGGAGACATGCTGTTGACGCCATGTCGAAATTACCATAATTTCGAGATGACAGCACATGACATTCTACTTGGAGCCGTTCACATCCTCGGACTAGGAATCACACATTTCTATCAACATTGTCAATGCCTAAACATTAGGGGTGGGAATCTTTAGGCACTTCACGATCTGATTCCGATTCTGGGAGTCACGATCCGATTCCAAAACAATTCTTGATCTAAATTTTTTCCTAATTAATTATTCTGCTGTGCAAATACATCTTTACAATTTTACATTTTAACCAAAATTGCAGTTTCTATGCTTTTTGTTTATAGTTGGAATCTCTGTAAGTCAGTACTGCCATATTATTAGGGGTGTGAATCTTCACTGGTTTCACGATTCAATTCAATTTCGATTATCATGTCAACGATTCGATTCAACTCAATCACGATGAGTCACATTCTCAATATTACTGCACATAGCTACATTTTCATATACATTTTATATCAAATTTATTTTGGGCAAATTTTACTTTATTTTTTTTTATTAAATGATATAAGCAGGCTACTTTTTAAAATAATGACTTATTTGAAAAATAAGTGTTCTTTAAGTAGGCTATCCGAAAGTTTACAGACAATCATAGTTATGGGTTTTTCTTTTTTCCTTAGCATTATTGCTGTTTGATTATTACTGATGAGATCACAGACAGTGGCAGCTTTAACAGGCTACATTCACACCGATTCACACTAATGCACACTTCTATTTCGATATATCGGACAGTTTTGTCCTGTTCTGAAAACATAACTGACTGTGTTTACATCAATTTCGTATAAAAGTATTCGGAGATGCAAGTGCATTTAACTGCAGCTGCGATCAAGCTTCAGGACATCAAACACAAAGCACACGTGAAAGACTGTCAGTACTAGGGATGGACATTCCAAGCAAAAATAATATTCGAAAATCGTTGGGTATTAGATTATTATTCGAAAATCGCACCCCTCCCCCGCATGCACGCACAAACACCCATAAACAGAGATAGAGGGAGAGACGGGATCCAAGCTTTCAATTCTGTATGATAAACTGTTTAATTCAGAAGATAGGCTACCTTAACTCAAGCCATATAAAGATTGTAACGTGCTGAAACATTAATATAATAAACATAACCGAATGACGGCACTTATTAACATATCAGTCTGTCAATTAGCATAAATCAACTGCTCATAAGGCTAGGACATTTCAATTATAAAAAATGGAACCCCTAAAGGGAATAGATACGAGATGGGAGGAAAAATATACTTCAATATCTAGTCGCATTTATATCAATTATACTGTATATAAACTGCGGGCATCAGGGAGCCATTATTAATATGCGGGGCATTGAAATCGCTTATGAACGCACGCCTGATTTTTACTTTCACTTTCGAGATTCGCGATCACACGTACTGAGCAGCACTCGGCAGTACTTACCACACATTTTACAAGATTAGGTGTTTGTCAGTCGTGCTCAAATCATTCACCATCATCCTATCAAGTCATCTCTCCTTACTCCGTTTTTGTGGTAAGTGAAATGTTATGTACTGTAATGTGCTAGTACAAGATTAGGTGTTTGTCAGTGGTGCTCAAATCATTCACCATCATCCTATCAAGTCATCTCTCCTTAGTCCGTTTTTGTGGTAAGTGAAATGTTATGTACTGTAATGTGCTAGCAAGCGGCTAACCATGTCCCTTTGGTGGCTCCGTAGAATGAGTTTTGTTTTCTGCGCCTTTCTGAATACGGAATTACAGATTCAGCCACACCTCTAACCCAGTCGGGGGAGTTTGTGGTCCACACAAAACTCTTATTTGACATCGTCCCAAGTTACTGTAACCATTATATGCTAGGCAAGTCTTTTTTTATACCATGCAAGTCTACAGTGTGCACGTGAGACAATGTGTTCTTCTGTTGTCTTTGACAGCTTTTAGGTGCGTTATTGGCAGCGCCGCCACCCTCTGCTTACATGAACGCGTCACCACCGCATCAGCACGGAAAACATGGGGACATTTTTTAAGACAGTAATCGCACAACCTATTCAATATTCTATAATTAAATCAACTAATCGAATATTC